CAAGGTGTTTATCACAGCTCCAGACTTATTTGTTCATTAATGACGTCATCGGCGACTAGTCGACTTCGACTCGACTTTCATCACATAAAGTCGACTTCAAAAAATCAGAAGTCGTTCAACCCCTATCACAGGTTCCAAAAAAATATTAAGCAGCACAACAATTTCCAGCACTGATAATAAATAAAGCATATTAGAATGATTTCTGAGGGATCATGTGACAAACTGCTGAAAATTCAGCTTTGCAACACACAGGGTTCCCACGCTTCTTGAAAGTACTTGAAAGTATGGCTGTGGAATGGGATTTGGCTGAGGAAAAATTCAGTCAAAAGATCTGTTTTGCTTTAACCCCATAATTTTTGCACATCAGGGAGCCGTATCAATATGCGGGGTATTGAAGGGTGTGAATTTGATAGGTGCTTGATATAAAATAAATGGTGCTTGAAAAAGTCCTTGAATCTGGTGTTCATGAAAGAGTGGGAACCCTGATCACAGGAATAAATTTGATTTTAATGTATATTAAAATAGAAATTTTACATCATAATATTTCACAATATTACATTTTTCCTGTATTTTTATCAAATAAATAGAGCATAAGAAACTCCTGTAAAATACATAAAAAAAATCATTCTGATCCCAAACTTTTGACCGGTTGTGTGTGTATAATTGAAAAAATATAAATTTTTTTAATTATAAAAAAAAATACAAGTAATAAAATAATATATACACTGGCGACCAAAAGTTTTAAATAATTACAATTTTTAAATGTTGTTGAAAAAAATGTCTTAGCAAGGCTGCATTTATTTGGTCAAAAATACAATAAAACAGTAATAGTGTGAAATATTTTTGCAATGTAAAAATTATTATATATATATATTTATATATTTATTTGATGGCAAATTTGAATTTCTTCAGTGTAATCAGTGTCACATGATACTTCAGAAATCATTCTAATATGCTGATTTGATGCTCACTTATTATTGTTGCTGCCTGTGTTTGTGTGTTACATTTTAAAATAATTATATACAATAATTAAATTATATTTTATAATTTAATAAATACTATTAGTGTTTGCTTAGGAGCTACAATATTGCTTGTAATTAATTTCTGCTACTGTGCTGTAAGACTTCTATATGCAAAAGACCTCCTATTATGATATATGATAAAAATATATATCATATATCCTATGATGTATATTCACTTTATATCCAATTATGATATAAACCTCATAGTTTTTTTTTTTTTTTTAGTGTGCATTCTCAGATTGCTGTGATTGAGGCATATTAATGATATATTCCATCATTCTCCATGTCCTTGTCCATAGCCTCTGCCATTCTCCTCCAGGCCTCTCTACTCATCCAATTATGATATAAACCTCATAGTTTTTTTTTTTTTTTAGTGTGCATTCTCAGATTGCTGTGATTGAGGCATATTAATGATATATTCCATCATTCTCCATGTCCTTGTCCATAGCCTCTGCCGTTCTCCTCCAGGCCTCTCTACTCTATGACCATGCTCAACTTGTCTCTCTGCTTCACCGGATTCCGTAAAAAAGATGAAGTGGTGAGTCCTGCTTACCCACTCATCTGACTCAAAAGCAGCCCATAGTGTCACTGTCTGATTATTTGCTCTAATTATCTGTGCTTTTCCTCAGGTTACCCTGGTAAATCTCGTCCATCACATGGGCGGCACCATCCGAAAAGACTTTGACAGCGCTAAAGTCACACACCTCATCGCCCGTTCAACACATGGTGAAAAGTACAGGGTATGTATCCACCGTATCCACACATACATATCATCCTTCCGCCCCTCTGATTTTTCTGTAGTGTGAATCAGCAGAGGAGAAAACAAAAAAACTACAGATTTTTAGTTGTGAAATCCTTTCTGACTCACCCTGCTGTAATGGCGCATATCAAATCAAATCACTTAGTCACTCCACTATATACACCAGTCTAAAGACGAATTAACTTGATCATACCACTTTACATCTCTTCCTGTCACAGTGGGTGGTTCTTGACCAGAATAAGTATGATTGTAGAGTCAGGTGATGTGAGATTACTGTAAATGTTCAGCAGAAATTGGTTGAATTCCTTCTCACCTTTGAATCCCAGAAACCTTTGAACTCTTTTGTGTTTGAAGAAGGTCAGTCACCAAAACTGTTTAAATGATTTTATTACCATTTATTTACATTAATATGTTAATTCTTAAAAATCAGCCTGAATGAAGAGCCTTTTGTCTTTTGGTCAGTGATGGCTATTTCCTGATGGTTCCTCAAACCCCAGGTGTGCTGTCCGTAACTAGGTCTACTGTCTGCAGTTGACATGTCTGCGTTATTTAGAGAGGGTTTGATTAAAACCGTTCTCATGCATCTCTCCTCACAGCGTGCTGAATTGGGCTGAATCATTCATTAGTCTCATGCATAATGCATGCATCAAGATTTGGTGAGGGGATCTCTTCCCTCCAGATGCTATTCACTGCCTTTTGTCTCTCTTTTTTTCTTTTTAGTTGGCAGTGTGCATGGGCACACCCATCCTCACCCCTGAATGGATACACAAGGCATGGGAGCACAGAGATGACATGTAAGATTGTGTGTGTGAGGCATAAAACTACCCCTTGCGTCAATCCCCCTCACTGTGTGAGTACAGAGGAGTAAAAACTGTGAATGATGAGGCTGAAATGTCCAGCCACTGGTGCGCACACCAAACGGGCCCTCCCTGCTTCCATATTAAAAGCGGTTTCCACTGCACTTTGGTTTTGACATTTTCCATACATGTATTGAACACTGAACCTGACCTTTCACATTAATGACCTGCCACTGTTGGCTGGATGTTGACTGAAGGGATTTTTTATTATTCATTTTCGTCCCCTCTGAGCCCACAAGACTTAAAGGAGACACACTTAAAGTCAATTTGAAATCCAAATTGACCTTGTACTGTCCTTGTTTCTGGTCTTATTGTGCAGGATGCATCAGTGCACTGTATTCTGAGCTGGATGTTGACTGAAGGGATTTTTTATTATTCATTTTCGTCCCCTCTGAGCCCACAAGACTTAAAGGAGACAGACTTAAAGTCAATTTGAAATCCAAATTGACCTTGTACTGTCCTTGTTTCTGGTCTTATTGTGCAGGATGTATCAGTGCACTGTATTCTGAAGGGGAATTTTTTTTTTATCTTTCATCTATGCTCAGGCTATTGGTTATTGTTGACCAAAAACGGGGTTTCTCCAGTTCTAAAGGTCTTAAAGGGCTCATCGGATGAACATTTTCCACAAGTTGGCATGATTTATTAGGGTCTTTATGAAATGTCTGTAACATATTTTGCTTAAAAACACTCAATGGCTGTGTAAACAACACCCTTTTTGCCTTGTCAAAAACAGCTCTGCTCACACCAACCCGTTTTGGTGAATGTCTCTTTAAATGAGGCGTTACCCCATTTTTCAGTGTGCTATTATATATGATGTCTTAATTTCTTAAAGCATCTTTCCAACAATTAAAGGGCTCATTGGATGAAAATTTTCGACAAGCTGGCATGATTTATTAGGTTCTTCATGAAATGTCTGTAACATATTTTGCTTAAAAACACTCAATGGCTGTGTAAACAACCCCCTTTTTGCCTTGTCAAAAACAGCTCTGCTGACACCAACCCGTTTTGGTGTATGTCTCTGTAAATGATAATGAGTTACTGCGCACCCCACCCCCCTTCCGGGATTTCCACTAAAAATAAAATAAATCCACTCCTCTCTTGTCTCCTCTGAGGCTGGGACTCTAAATAAGGATTTGTGTTCATCTGTGCAGCCAACGACAGAACATTTAGCATGTTTTCTGCTAACTTTTGCCATGGCGTCAGAACAAGTAATCCGCTGTCTCTTGTGAAAACAACAATGGCGGCTGAGCGCCGTGGGTGGAAGCGTGCAGATTAATGGGCGGTAATATTATAAGAAGAACCCCTTCCTACGTCAGAGGGGGAGAGAAATCTGATTGGCTCATTTTCTCACATGCTGGCAGAGAAAGGCTTACAAAACCAAACTTACTGGGTTCTTCTTTTTTACCTTTGGTAGATATAGTTGGTAGATGCACCGGACACTCAATTATAGCACTTAAACACTGAAAAAGTCAGATTTTCAGTCGATAAGCCCGTTAAGTCTTAATTCACCCTTCCAGGAATTAAGGTGTTAAAAAGTCTTAAATCAGAGCAGGAAGTCTTAAATTAATAAAGTCATGTCATTAAATGTTGCATTGCTAAAAATAAATATCATCCTCGGTGTTTTTGTCTTGTTTTCCAATACAAATATCTAAACATCTTTAAATCAAGATACATTTACTTGAGATGAAAAATTACGATTTTCTGAGAAACTGAACACACTTACATTTTTAATAAACAAGAACAAATAGCTGTAAAAGGAGTATGAAAACTTATTTTCCCTTTGAATTAATTTTTTTCTTAAGTCCATTGGTGGATATTTGTTCTTTTTAATCAGACTCACTTATGCCATGCCACAACAAGATTTATGCCATTTTGCTTCTCAAGTAAATGTATCATGATTTAAGAATCTTTAACATTTGCACTGGAAAACAAGACAAGTATGCTAAGCAAGACCATCACGCTTTGCAGTGTGATGATCTGAAGGTACAGTAAAAGTTATTTTCATATTCTAGTGGTTGGGAGCAGAGGTATTCAAACCTTAAACTTTTTTTTTTGTGTATAATTTAAAAAGTTATGGAGATCGGTAGGAAGTTGTTTTTTCAAAGTTTTGCTAATACAACTCATTGTGTACTCTCTAGACATTTATTTTTAAAGAACAAATTGATGTATTATGTTCCGTTTGATTTATTCCTTAAAATTTCTTTCCTTGTTCTTAAAAAGTCTTAAATTTGCCTTCACGAAACCTGCAGAAACCCTGAAAAAGCCAGATATAAATTTGGTTATTGTTTTATGCCAGGACTTTTTAAATGGGAACTGCAGGAAGCTGCAAGAGAGTTCTAGGGCAGTGGTTCTTACCAAGGGGCCTCGGCACACTTCCATAGGGGCGCCAATAAGTCTTAAAATGATTTAAATTTGGTTATATTAAAGGGGACGTTAATGCACACAGTTTCTGACAATCTCAGGTTAATCTTACGTACCTATGGAGTAGTATTGCATCCTTCAAATCTCCGAAGAGTCTTTAGTTTGATCAGATTTATAAAAGAAAGATACAGCTTTACGCTTCTCTCCAAAAACAGTCAAACTCCTGGAGGCGTGCGTGGGGAGCTAAAGAGTCACGAGCATGCGAAGCTTTTGTGTAGCGATCGTCTCCAAGCTGTGACATCGACATAAATAAAACAGGAACAAAAACTTTATTGACTTAAATTAACTATGGCTAAAAATCAGATCCAGCCATATATATTCGATCCAGACTCTGATCCCGCCGACTTCCATAACCCGAATGAAGCACGCTGATGCTCTTGCTCTGGTTGATGTGTGCGTGCTCTTCCAGCAGAAGTGCCCATTCAAGGAATTCCGCCGTTTATGACGTCATACAGGGCCATCCTCGAAAAAAACTTTCCAAAACTTATACGAAGTTATTTGGCACAGAAATACATCCAACTTGTTTTTTGAGACTTTGGTCATGTTTAGCATGAGAATCCAACTCTTTGGCAGTGTAAATAAGTCAGAATGCATGACATGGCATTAGACCTCCCCTTTAACATAATCTGAATGAAAATGTTAAATCACTAAAATGAAAGTGTACAACATTAATGTACAACATTAAACTGACATCCTTTTTTTACTTAATTTTTATTTCAACAAATGTACCAAAGGTAAATTTAAGCAGGGCCTTTGAAAATTGTCCCGGACAAAGGCGGGCGGGCCTTGGACTCAAAAAGTTTGGGAACCATTGTTCTAGGGGGTTCACCATAAGTTTTACAAAATTGATTTTTTTTTAAGCTATTAAAGTTATGTCTGTGCATCGAATATCAGTAGAGAAAAGATAAATGTAATACAAAATCAGTATTTTCAATAATTTGCTCTGACTTAGTAACGATTTAATTTATCCAATTTAATTTGCAAACAGCACATCTTCCTAAAGTGACCATTTCACTTAAGACCTAAATTACTGTTTATGAGGATGTTTGCAAAGACGGGCATTTTGACATACAAGTGTGTGTATTTAACCGTTCAAGGCCTATAAAGCGGTAAAAATAACTCAGTTCAATACTCCCGCGCTCTATGAGCACCGTCTTCACATGCTCGTACCTCTCTGACTGATTGCGTTTCAGCAGCTTAAAATCACTTGTTTTTAAACCATAATACTTAAAAATGCATGCAAACAATAGGTTCTCATGACCATGTAGCACAGCAACGTCACGTGAGCGTGTAACCACGATAGAGAGAGAATTTCTACCGGTTAATACTGTCTACCAGTATATTGCCCACCCCTAATGTCAAGTTCAAATAGAGTTGTAATAATAATTTTAACACTAACAAAATTACACTGCTTGATTTTATTAGTCAGAATTGTTTTCAGAAACTCCCAAAACTATGTTCAGAGTTTTTTGTCTTGAGGTGTGTATGATTTCTTATTTTTTTTCTTCTTTTTTGGCTTTAGTAATTTCCATGCAGGCAACGAGGAGTTCCGCACCGAGTTTAAGGTCCCTCCGTTTCAGGACTGCGTCCTGAGCTTTCTGGGCTTCTCTGAAGAGGAGAAAACCAACATGGAGGAGAGGACGCAGAAACACGGTACTGGACTCTCATGCATCAGTGTCCTTTCTGAAACGTTTCATGTTTTAATAAGTCACAAAACCTCTGCTCAAATAATTCTCGATTAACCAAAGCCTTTCACTCTGATGCAACTGAGATGTTGACTCCAGGACGTACTTCTGTATTTTATTGCTAGACCTTCTCTGTTAAAGCAAATGACCCGATTTCTGATTGAGGGGGATTTTTAAAGGAGTCTGTACTGCTTGTTTTGTCCAGGTGGACGGTTCCAGGCAGTGGGTGATGCAAGGTGCACCCACTTGGTAGTTGAGGAGAACTCCATTAAAGAACTGCCCTTTACTCCCTCCAAAAGGCTCTATGTAGTGAAGCAGGAGGTATGAACTTGGCTTTACGTCTCACAAGTACAGACACAGAAACACACACACTGGGCTTTGTGTGGGTCCTTAATAATAGTGTTTAAAAATGCACTCTGTTATTTTACACTGCTTTCCTGTCCGTAGTCCATTATCTAGTAGGTTGCGAGGAGTGTGAGTCGTTTTTTTTTTTTTTTTTGGCAGACATCAGGAGTTTTAGTAGCTCCGTTACGATCATAAATGCATCAGTATTAAGGTGTTAATAAAGGGTTCAGCTGAAATGTTTTAAATTAATGCATCTTCTCATTTTATTTCTCATTTTGCGTCTTTCTGCAGTGGTTTTGGGGCAGTATACAAATGGACGCCCGTGCTGGGGAAATCATGTACTCTTATGAAAAGGTGAGGAAATCACTGCATTTGGGGTGTGGAAGTACAAATTCCATTAATTTCACTTATTTAGAGAAGTTTTTTTTTTAGAATTTGTGATTTAATTAGTAAACTACACTACCCACAATCCTTTATTGATGTCCACCAATCAAAGTTACCGCTGTTACTATGGAAATGGGAATTGCTGCTAAACTAAGCTCAGTATTTTTGAATCTTCTCCCCTCGTATACTTTTTGAAATTCTTTTTATTCAAATATTATTTTTGCTTTAAAGCAAATGTTTTGATATAATTTGCTTTTTTATAAAATTTTTTTTTTTAATGCGTTGTTTATGCATAATAATGCAAAACTAGTTTTAAGTTAAGTTTTAATTAAAAAAGGAAAAATACGGACCTTTATTCCTTAAGTATAGTTTAAAAATGATCCCATGATGCTTCATAAAATGGATAGTTCAAGATATTTTTTAAAATGTTGGTAACCAAACAGTTGGCGGTAGCCATTGACTTCCATAGAAGATTCTTCAAAATATCATCTTTTGTGCTAATAGAAGAAACTCACAGGTTTGGACCAAGTGTAAGGTCACAAAATGTGGAAAATGGTAATAATGTGTTTTTTTTTTTTCTCCAGTAGTTTATCTTCTGAATACAGTGAAAAGTGTGGTCAGATTTAGTAAAGACTCAAAATTGATTTTACAGCTTTATCAAAAGCAGTACACTCATATCTGTTGTCTTCATGTCTTCCTCTCAGCCGGAGAGTCCTGTGATGAAGAAGGCTGTGTCTCTGCTGTCTCTCACGACACCCAACAGTGGCCGGAAACGTCGCCGTCTTAGAGAAACATTGGCTCAGCTCACCAAGGAGACAGAGATTTCTCCCTTCCCACCGCGCAAGAGACCCTCAGCTGAGCACTCCCTCTCCATGGGCTCCCTGCTGGACTTCTCCAACACACCTGACACCTGCAAATCCAGTGGAGGTGAAATGAATGATCTGATATGACATGACAAGCAAACAAATAATGTAACACTCCCCCGTCTTCCATGGGTTAAACAAACGAACAGAAGAATAGTCTAACCTTCAGTTAAAAAAAAAAAAAACTATTTTGGTTGTCTGAAAAGTTTGCAAAGTTCCCATTGCATTATGTGAGAGTGTTCCAGAGCTCTATAGACTTTGATCTCTGGGGTCCAGGGTGATCCCAGGCAGGGCTGAGGTGAACCGGGAGAGTCGGGATGTGTTTTAGATGAGTGAGGCCGCTGTTTTGCAGAGCGCAGGTGCAGGAGGAGCAGCGGTAGGCGGAGGAGTGCCAGACAGAGTAGATCAGAGAAACAGTGGCCACTGCAGCGTACCAGCACTCCTGTGTGCAGACAGGAAACAGACCAGACAGGTGACATTCATAGTAACTTTAGCCCAGGGTTTAGGATGAATGTAAACATTAATCTATGCTATTCATGTGTAGAAAAGGTGATTGCTCAAATTGAGCAAATTTATCTTTTGTTCTCTTCAAAAGTAAATTATTCGTGTGTGTGTGTGTTTTAATTAGTTTTTTTTTTTTTTTTTTTTATTCAAGGAATGTTCCAGGTTCAATACAGCTTAAACTCATTTGTGGCAACATGTGGATAACCACAGAAAATGTTTAGTTTTACCTAACAACAGCAAAAGAAAGCACTAAATTAAAAAAATTAATTGAATCATCTTTACTAAACTCACAAATTATTTATGGCTTAAAACTGAACTTAATTCAGGTTAACTGATATAACAATGCATTTTACTCTTTACTATGAGCCCAGGTTGATTGGTTGATTTTATTATTTTATATTTTTTATTTATTTAAGTTAAATTGAACATTCCCTTGTATCTAAAACATCGCCAATTGTGACTCATATTACACTTCTTTTTTTTTTTTTTTTGGAACAGATTTT